TTTTCAAGGCACAGTAACAGGTCTTTGAGAGCCAGCATTCTTGCTGTTTCTCAGGTGTTCAAATACTTATGTTCAGCAGTGCAAGACAAATAAATTCTTTAAAAATCATACAATGTGATTTCCTGAATTTTTTTTTTTTAATTCTGTCTCTCAGAGTGGGAATGCACCTACAATGTGAATTTCAGACCCCTCCATGATTTCTAAGTGGGAGAACTTGCAAAATCGCAGGGTGTTCAAATACTTCTGTTCCTCATTGTAAAACAATTTAAATGTCTACCATACACGGCCCAAAAATTCACAGGATTTTTTTCCACTCACTATTTCATGAACTGGAACAGCACAGAACTTCCTCTTCAGCTGTGTTAAGATTCATTCAACATTTTAACATGTGAGTTGATTACCAATTACTGACAGCCAGACTGTGATGTTACTAAGAACCAACAGAGCTTAAGGAAACCAAATGGGATAGGTTTAGTGACCTTGAGCACTGTAGAGGCTTTTGATCAGAAAACTCTATAGATGAAATCTGGACTCCACATATTATTCTTAGGCATTACTACAAATTTTTTATTATTAAAGGTAACAAAATATTAAAGTGTCCAAAGAGCTGTTTTTAAATCTCCAATTAAAAATGAGAATTCTGCATATTGTATTGTAAGACACATTAAATGGCATAGTGTATACAAATTTCTCATCCCTATTAAAGTAATAGTAACCAACGACTACAAGAGGACCCACGCTAGTGGTTGCCCACTATATTGTAGACTATCTTAGTCACCAAGCTTTTAAAAACATCTTGCACTTCCACAAAAGCCAATTCATACAACATGGGTGGAAGACAGTAAAAAGTCATGATGTGTTTCTTGATAGATTTGTGATGGAGGGTTTCACTAGTGGGTAGAGATGGCCTCTGTTGCAGGTAAACTATTATGTTACTAAAAACATATTCATTGGAAAATTAGCAGCACCTGTGTAATGTGAGCAAAACCAAAGCTTATTCTCAGTAGCCAGATTCATACTTTGATCTTTGTCATAAAGAAATCAACTATTCTCTTTATTTAAAGACTGTATAATAACAGGAAGCAGGACTAGCACTCTTAATCATGTTGAGCTTTCTACTTCTCAGCTCTAAACCACTACAGATATGAGTGCTCAGTGTACTGCACTTGATTCTTTGCCTCACGAGTATATGCGTGCCAAGTCCCTCTTCTAAAAGCAGAGATGGCTGCAGTGATGACGCCGCCTGCTGTGGTCTGGCCTCAACCATATGTCACAGACTGAACCAAACCAAAACAAGGCTCCAGAGGAAGCCTGCTCTAGGCCACAATGTGAAGTTCAGACTAGAACTGAAGGAAAATGGGTAAGCTACATAGACTAAAAAGTACCTTTAAGTTACCAATGATGTCTGAGAAGCAACAGATCACACATGATCTGTGAGCATACGTACACAGAAGGGGTGCACCGATTCATCAGCAGGGATCGGAAATGGCCAGTTTTCAGCGTGATTGGTTTTGACTCGTGACTGGCCAATCAGTGAGATTTCCAATTTTGTATCAATAAGATCAAGAGGCAAGACAGTCCACATTTGACAGTGGCAAAGGCCAAAAACGTAGCATGTGCAGTGCGTAGCATGTCGCACGCACTTCAAGCTAGGCTCGCACCCGTGTCTGTACCGCATGCGTGTTCACTTGATCATTGAAAGCTCTTGGTGTGCAAAAAACACACAGGGGAGCAGAAAGAAACACTTTGGAGACGGGAAAGAACGACTCAAAACTCCGACAGATAGCACACAACGAGGGAATTACTGGCTACACATGAAATGCATGTATATGAACAATGTATCAAGCCCATGGTAACACACAGCAAACTACAAACACTTCAAAAAGAACTGTGTGCTCGGTATTGGCTAACAGACACGTTTCTATTATGTGTTGCAGTTGTTTAATTCAGAGAAGTACAGATATGGCAGTTAAATTTTAGTGGGAGGTTTGTTAAAAAAAAAAAGAATAGAAAAATAAAAGACAGTAATGAGAATGAAAGAAAAAGTAGACCAACACCGTTTTGTCACAATGTGTTTGTACAAATGTAGCAACACCTGTGTCTTCAACATGTCTGCTAGTGCCAACCAGATTTAGTGTGAATTAGGTTAATTATTTGACAAAAAAGGGCACTAGGGCCCCCCCAGTTACTCAGAGGAAGTTAAGGACATTACAGGGCTAGGATTAACAGACCATTTTAGCTGAAAATCCTGTGACAGGTCATATGAGGGAGGATTACATTAATGATACCTTTAATCCGATTCAGACTGAATGAAGACCACCTCCATGACTGCACAAAGCAGAGTAACCCTTTCAACAGAGCATCATCTCCTATTAATAACTTTTTAGGCTGGTACTTACGCCGTCTGTCTCTGCCACGTCTACATTGCCGTTTGCATCATCATCCATCTGCTTATGGATACCACGGATAGCCACGAAGCTGAGAACACTGTTCTCATCCTTGCATAGTGGCTCATCGATGCGACAAAGATCTGGTGGAGAAACATAATTATATCAGAATGCTGTAAGAGGCTACTTTGAGACTCACAGGTCAACACAGAACTGAACATTTTTGTAATAAAGTCTGTATGTTCACCTTCTAATTTGAGAAAAGGTTACAGGGCTAATACTGTAAGTCTAATCACAAAAAACACTAATCCTACAAATACCACTACTACTTAAAGATTAGACAATATGCAAGCATCTATCTTGAAAACACTGGATTAAATATTTCTATCTAGTTGAGAACAAGTTCCTATTACAACTACATAAACAATATCTTTAAATAAACATTCTGGTTTCATTTTAGTTGACCTGGCACCAAACACCAAAAACTCAAAATTCTCTCAATCTCAAATCATAATGTATCACAATCTTCACAGTAATCAAGTTTATTCAAGTTCTCATTTTAGTTCAATGCTCTCTTAACTCCCACTAATCCTGTGACCACCAACAAGGCTTTTAAACATTTGGGATTTTTGCAGAAACTCAGACTGCACAATCTCCTGTAGGCCTGGCCTTATTTACCCTCCTCTCTCAAACATCCTAAGATAACTGAACTGTAAAATTCCACGGCTGCAGACAAAATCTTGTATATATAAGGCCATTCACTCAATGTGGGGATGATGCCAGATACTGTGACAGATTTACTGCACAGACCAAAAACAGCCCGTCTCAAAGTGAATTTGTTTTAATAATTCTGAACTTTCACACTTGCAATCTGATATTAATTTGGATTTCACTGTTGTGTTTACTGTCAGAAAACCTGGAGTTGTTACTATAAATGTAGTTCATGTTCAACTATATTCTAGATTGCATTTTACCAGTCAGGCCTGAGTAACAAGTGAGGATGTCAGTGTATGAGACCACAGTTAATTGTAGGTAAATCAGAAATGTTTTCATTAATAATTATGTAATTTGGCAACCTTTACATTATCTAGTGAGTGTGCCCTCTGTTTTCCCTCTCTTTCCTCAGAGATTTGAATTCCTCTGCAATAGATCTGAGATAATGCCACCACTCCCAGCTAAGAGAAAACCTTGTCTGGCACGTTCCGCTCCTTCCCAAAAGCTGCGTCACAGGTCATGGCAGGCTACCTACAATAACAGTAAGTTCAACTGTGTTATTTTATCAAAGCACTATGACTGAAGTGAAGTGAGAAGTGTCGCTGAAACTTCAAAAGCATGCGTCTGTTTATCATTACCTCTGTTTAAAGAGCTGCTACTATCTTAAGGATACTGTTGTAAATTTGAGATTATTAATCCCGGTGAGCTCTTTTCCTGTTTAAATTTACACAAGAAGCATATGCCAAACACAGAATGTTTTATTGCACAGTTCATAAAGGAAAAGGTGAGGGCGGGGGTTAAGCAGGAGACTAGCTTTACTCACCAAGATGAAATACTAATATAATATATTCCTAACCAGATATAAGCTTGGTTTTTACCAACAATATGCCACTAAAAATTTGGACACAACTGTTCTAACTATGGATTTACTGAATAAAAGATTTGATTCTACTGTGTATCAGTTTACTAGTAAATGGGTATATTTTTTGTTTTACAAACTAAACCAAGATTCCCAGACAGATGATGTTTTTCAGTGTCATCTGCAGCATTCCCACAGCAACAGGAGGTGTAGGAGTAGGTAAAAATCAAAAAAGACCAAGCAACTGACACTGCTAGATCAGGAATTAAACTAGTGTGACACAGACAATAGTGTATAATCTGTTATAGACACTCCGTTTGCATTGTGCTGACATTTAATGCCCCTCCCACAGATCAACTCACACCAGCCCATGCATTCTTTGAGACATGTTAATTAAGACATCACAGGCTGGCAATTAGAGATAAACAGTAAAACTGATCACAGATGACTCTCTGCAACAGTTATTGTGTCCGTCTGCAGTTGGCAAACTGTTCTTCATATTTCTCTACATGAAAAGCTCCAAACCAGAACTAGGGAAGGGGGTTCTGGTGAGCTTCGCATAGTGAAAAGTTCATTTTTGAGTCATAGTATGCAAGCATTTTGGTTTCAAGGAACCTGCAATGCCACATACCACAAAGGCAATGATTCACACGTACTCACTCAGCACTCATGAAAGAATGATAGTTACCCTAGTGAAAGCCTACCACCTGAAACACTTTCATACTCTCTTTCTCATTTGACTTGCAAAACTCTGGAGACACCAGATAAGATATTTACACACAGATCAGTCTGCGTTTTCTAAGAGCTCAAGTTACACAAGTCATTTTGTGTGCTTGCATGTAGATGAAAAACACTCTACAACTTTGCCACTTCCTAACTACACCATTTACCATGTCCTATCACTATTCAAAATACCTATCCATCCTTGAAAATGACTGAACTGCTAGGGTTAATTCTTTCCCACACAGTGGCCTCCTGGGACATGTGACACATGAATAAGCTACGCTGCAAGCACAAAATATGCACGAGCAACTTCCACAATGTCTGAACTGCTGCAATTTAACCACACAGTTCAGCAGAATCAACACAAGATCGCAACCAAGAAAGTTTACTAGGGTTTACCCAGTTACTGCGAAAAGTAACAACAATGTGAAGTAATGAAAAATGTAAATGTGAACAGATATCCTCTTTTTATATGGGTAAAATAATTACACTAGGACTTGTAAAAAGTCACAGTATGTCATAACTGGTTCATACTTTTCCCAAGCAGATTCAGATTTCATAGTTTACATACCATTTGGAATTTCAAGATGTGCTTGACAGAAGCACCACTGTCATCATTCACGTGAAATCATTTTGTGGAATGAGGCAAGAGATTACAGTGATAGAGGAACTTAACTAATAGTATGTGTAACTTTACAAGAGAAGCTTGTTAAACTCAATCAACATGTTTGCACTCCTCACTTAAAAGGAAAAGCTGATGAAGAATATAGTGCAGTAAGTTAGTGCAGCAGTATGCTGCTATGAGAGACCTACACAGCCTTTAATTTACAGGTCTACACATTTAGAAGTGCAAATCCAAAATTCAAAAGTACTGTCAACTCAATATTTTACATTTCTCCCTGGCCAACTTTACTTTGCCAAGTTACACAATTAAACTGTACTGAAGAGTAAGAATTTATGACACAATCACTGTACAGCCAAATGTTGAAAACTATTTAAAATGGTCCGATTCCAATTCCTGATTTATTGAACACAGTTTCACATCTTGAATATTGCTCTCTGATTCAGAAACTACTTACACTAGTGCTTATTCACTTCACTAACCATTACCTCCTGTATGATTAGGTGGCTTGATCTAAGTCGGAGGACAGGGCTAGTGGAGAATACCAGCAGGACTATTCTCAGCATGGCTACATTTAGTGTCTGCACAATCACAAAGATAGTAGCACAAACAGTATAATGCACTATCAAGCTATAGTGTGTCAACTTCGTTTGACAGATAAAAATAAACTTGAGAAATACCACAACAAATTAATGCCACAACAGGCAACTCACCTGACACCCCATTTTCAATAATCTGATTGTCCTGTGAAGGTGAACTTGGTAGTTCAGTCCAACATTCTCCAACGAGACACAAGTTAAATATCCACAAGGTCACAAATTTGTTGAACTCCATGACTGGTGTGCGCTGGAAAGAAGACAGTAGCCTTGAGCATTTGAACACAAAGAATTTGCAGCGCTTCTGTCTAGCTCGTTCAATTAAACATTGACCATAGTTAAAAACAAAGTAGCTTCTTTTACTCTAATAAAGCACACCACACCACAGCAAGAAGAAAGTAGTCACACTAGCTTACAAAGAAATGGGCTTAGCTACATAAAGATCCCCACAGTAACTGCAGACACATGCTATCACTTCTCAAGTGTGCTTCTTCTTCCTGGATAAACCAACGTAGTTAGCTTGTTAACACCTGCTTTCAGCTTTAAAAAAAAATCTTGACGCTTCGTTTTATCATTTCAGCTTAGCCTTGTCGTTTATGGCGACAAACACATTTAACTTCCGGCAAAATAAAGATGATTAAATTATGAAAAGTAACGGCTACATCGTCCGTCTGCGTGTGCAGGTACAAGCCCTGATATAGCTAGCTAACATCTCGGCTAACTAGGAAATGAAGTGAAATATCAGACAAAAGGGGATGACATTGCAGAACTCTTCTGGCAAAACCAACAAAACATAATTGGCACAACAAATTTTCACACTAACGCTTTTACACTAAGACTGACGTGTTTTTTAGGTAGTTTATGTCGGTGTCGACTCACTGCATTTTCTGCGGACGTAGCAACATTAGCCGCCTTTTGCGTTCAGCTAGCGTTAATAAGAGACTGCAAGTCAGGCTAGGGACGCTGATTGAGAGCAACTCTAGTTTTAGCTAGGCTACAAGCTTTGTAATACTAGGTGTTACTACTGTAATGCTGAATAACAAAAAAAGTTAACGCTGGTACCTGTCATGTATCAAAGCCAGTAGACTTGTAGCTTCAGCTCTGGGTTGACATTGCAGTAGATACCTGTCAAGATACCCCCGGAGTTGAAGTACAACGACCTCCACCTCCTGTATGAAAGATCTTGATCTTTCCCCCCCGACCGTGAGACTGAACCGAAAAAGCCGCAGAATGTGGACAGACAGTAGAATTGTCTCCCTCTACACCCTAGACTCCCTGTTTATCATCTGCAAGTGGCGCCATCTAACGCCTGGAGTGTATACTGGCTGTCATGGCGAAAGAATTAACAAATTAAATGGATGAAGTCTGCCCTCTAGTGGACTTCTTTGTCAATCGCACTCTAACGCCTGCAGGTACAGGTTAAAGGACAATTACACTAATTTCAAGGACTGGGCACCAAGACAGGAGGCATTTTCACCGTAGACTTTTTAACATGTTAGACATTCCTCTTAACAAGTGTTTACAGTTTCCGTACTTTTATACGTAGAGAGTTATAGTTTCCATTTACAACATAAATTACTCACTGTACTTGTATTTTGAGTCTATGGATTACAGGTAAAAGTACTTCTTTAAATTAGTGACTGCAGACTGTAAGAAGTATTATTGTGTTTGACACTTTATCCTCCGCTGAATACAAACCAAACCTTTTAATTTGTCTTTAAATAAAATATATGGTTTGTACTTCAACTGGGCAATGAGGAAGCCTGAGGTCTGATTTCTGGACTTGGACCTTACCTGGGAAAATCAGACAAACCTGTAAAATCTGTATACAGTGTAGATCCTACACTTTGGTCATATGCTTAAAAGAATTCAATTAATTTTAACTGCTAGCAATCTTTTTTTTATGTAGATATTGTTGAAATAGGAATATGAATTTAGGCTACATCTAAACATGACTAAAGACAAGTCTGTTTTTTATAGTGGCTTAAAGTAGGCCTATTACAGGAAAGTAGCTCTTGGTGACAGTGGTTTTCAGAAAATCTTACTTGTGTAAAATACTGAACAGTGTCAGAGTCATTGCTTCTTTATGTGGACTTTACCTGAAACTCACAAAGAACATTTTTCACCCTTTTGTATTTAAAAAAAAAGCCAAAGACCACTTGAAAACTTTGACTTTTCTTTGGCACATATACAGTATGATTACATTGTACAAAACCTAAAATGTAACATTATAAAACATACAATATGTAGGTGAAGGCCTCACCACAACAAAAATACACTCACAACTAAATGATTAGACCCTAGAGTACTTGATTGATCACACTTTTCTACTGTAACACTAATACCCTCTAAAATCCTAAGATATCATCATGAAAATATGTGGAAAAGGTCTTCATCCCACACTTCCTCTTGAGCAAGATCAAGGTTATTATCATCAGCTGGCTGAGTGGTTGCACATTTAGGACTAAATCCTTTTTCTAGTCAGAAGTCTTTATCTTCAGAGGATGAAATGATCATGACCTCCTGGCTCTTAAAGTCCCACACTGCTGTAAGATGGAAGGCCATATTGGAGAAAACCACAAGATACTCAAACAGGGCAAAAAATGTATAACCTGTGAAAAAAAGAAACAAGGGAGGCATGCTGAATGTTTTGATCAGCATTTTGTAGCTACAAGTGACAATATTATAAACATCCTTTAATATTTATTCCTCATATGATACTTGTGCTTTTAAGTTTTGGCATTCTCCTTTAAACACAGTTAACAACCCTTACAGATTAAATCAAAATGATCAATCTGATACAATACTTACTCCCTGATTCACAATACATGTTGTGTTTCCAATAAAAGAATCCAGCAAAAGCACAGAAGGTTACATTAAGAATTAAAAACCGCACCTTCCAGTGGTGAGACTTGGCATCCTGTGGAGGAAAAAACACAGTATTACTGAGTTGAACTAAATTCTGCAAATTAAATGAATTTTATCTCTATATTAGAGCGTGTATTACCTTACCCCAGAACTTAATGAATACTTCTTAATAGCTTTCCACAAATGACAGGTTATTAGCATGTAGATAAGGGAGCTGATGATGAACAGGACAAAGCCTTCCTTATGTACAACTAAGGAGCAAAAATACAGGCATATACATAGGTTTGACATAAAATCTCTCCAATAAACGTTATGATCTCAAAATATAGATTACTCACAGTATGTCTCACTGGATGATACATATGTGAGGAGCAAAAGGCCAAGGTTTTCAGAAATAGAAAAGGCCAGGTTCAAGCAGCTGAGTGAACTCTCCGGGGACTTTGAGTTAAAACGTGTCTTGTAAAATTTGAAGTAGGTGAATGCCACAAGGAACCTTGGTGCTGAGTGCAGTCCGATGCAAAAACGCCATATGTAACACTCAGGACTGAGGCTTATTGAAGCGCTGATTGATGGCAGGTAGTTAGGAACCTGAAAAGACACTGTAGTGATGTTGCTTTGGTTTTAAACAGCATCAAAGGCAAAACTCTTCAACCAGAAAGAAAGAAAGGAGACGGGAACACAAAGAGAAAACAACAGGAACAATAATAGGACACAGCAAACTGCATGCAAACAGATCTTTCATGACAGAACAACTCAAAACATTTAAACACTGAGATGAAAAACATAAGAACTTTACCTGGCAATGTGTACCAGTAGAGTCCTCAAAATGAAAAGCAGATGATATGAAGACACAAGTTATTAGCCCAAGCAGTGGTAGACACACAGTGCCCAGAACACAGGAGGTGAATGATATTCTGATGACCAGGGGCCTCTCATGCCCCAAGACATTTGAGTCGTGTAGCATCTTAGACTGGATCTGCAATAAAGTCAGATTCATAAACGTCTTCAACACTATCTCCAAAAGGTAAATACGGGCAATAATGGCTGTGGCATTAAGAATTCAAATTAGTGAACATACAATGTACAGTTAGAATGTTTGACTGAGCATCTGATGTCTTAAAATCCAAATCAACCTACCTCCACACTGTTTATAGTTTGCAATTAACTGCTACTCCAACTACAAGCAATTGGCTTGTCAACAAAACCACTACACAACATTCATTTTATCAGGCTGCACGCTGGACCTGAATATTCCAGATGGGGTGGAGTCCCTTAGAAAAAAGCAGGGGATCATCGGTCCAGCTTAGATTCCTGCGACATTTTTGCATCCACTAGGTTTGAACGTGATTCTCCCTGCAAATGATAACATGCAGAACTGTGCGACAGATAGCTGCTGAAGGAAAATTCAGTAAGAGGACACAGGCACCCGGAAGAAGACAGTGAGCGCAGGACAGTGCTGATGTGACTCCAGTGCGTTTGGGTGGCGCAGCCTATCAAAGAGATCCACAGATCGCATGCGTCTCTTTATAAACACAAACCGCTGGTGACAGCAGTAACTGCCCGACGTGGTGTTATAGGGGACGACGGGAGCTCTCCGTGGGGCTGAACCACAGCAAACAGGGTCCATTTTCGTTTAATATTCGTCTGTTACTACTTCCATAAACATATCCTGTATATAAAATATACTGTGCGTATGTCTGTGTCTCCGATCGCCTGTATGCAAAGGATTATACGTAACTATAGCCTATTACATCTCGTCCTGTCAATCCACTGCCCCGCCTTTGTTAAACATCATGAGTGCAGTCTGTGGCCTGATGCAGGGCGAGATTGCGCATCACCGCTGAATTCTCCATCACTCTGCGTATTATTTAGGCTACCTTCCGTTTTTCTTTTTTTGTTTGTTAGTGAATGAAACATGTTTGACACAGAGACGCTCACATGGTGTTTGGTTCATTTTGTAGCAGATCGTTAGTTTCAGCAGCAGGAAACGATGTAGATTCCAAACTTTATTTCGATGGCTTCTGTGTGCCAATATTTTACCAAGTAAGTTTTTGTTCGTTATATTTTCAGTTTACTGAACTAATATTTGGTAGTTATTTTTCTTACCATGAGTTCATTGTAGTTTTAAGTAAGGAGGCAGAGCGGCCGAGCAAACCTGACAGATTCAAGGTTAACATCTGGCAAACCTAACTCCATTGTTGACACTGACGATAAGCCCCATTTCAAAGATACATTTTACAGTGTTTCCATTTAAAATCTAATCCTTATATCAACTTTCTTGCTGATTTGGATTTTGAAATATGAAAATTCCATTATAAGCCATAAAATAACGTATTTAAACATTTATATGCTCTTTCTAACGCCACAGTTTTCACAAGACACAAATGTTTAATCTCCCTATTTTGGCTCATTTTTATACTCATATATTGTGTGTACAGTGGATTAAACATTTAGTTAGTATGTGCTAAGCTCTACACACACAGGCTGAACAGAGGAAGTGGCTGCTTGTAGGCTTACATACATAGACTAATGGCAGATTTGCCTGATTCCATTCCAGAGCTGTAACCTATAGAAGGGCAATTTTTCTCTGACACCCCTTTCGTTCTATCCTACCTCTGTTAGGTAATTTCTTAGTCAGATAGATATTTGTTAGAGATTTGTTGTATTAGAAATGTTTAGTGGAGCCAGGCTGTCTAGCTCAGGCTGTTAAATGCTTAGTCATTCTCATGAGTTCTGCAGGCTGCA